CCCCCTTTTCCCCGGGCAGTCTGGGGCGGCCTTGGGAGACGGCTGCGGGGAGGGCCTGGGAGAGCCCTTGGCGGGGGCCCTGGCCTCAGGCACCTCCAGCAGCGCCTTCTCCCCGCCGGCCTCCTGTGCCCGCCGCTGCTGCTGCCGCTGCTGCCGCTGCCGGTCCATGTTGCGGCTGAGCAGGGTGGTGACGGCCATGCGGGGCCCGGCCAGCTCGAAGTGGTAGCCCAGCTTGAGCAGGGTGGCATTGTCCCTGAGCAGCCTGGCCATCTCCATCTCCGTCTTGCCGCCGCAGATGTGGCGCTGGTTGTGGAAGCGCAGCTCGGTCAGCGAGCTGTTCTGGAGCAGGGCCCGGAAGATGGCCAGGATGCCCTTGCTGGTGATGTGGTTGGAGTCCAGGTTCAGGCTGGTGATGGTCTTGTTGGCCTTGAGCATGATGGCGATGGCGAAGGCCACGTGGTCGTCCGCCCGCGTGTTGGCTAGGGCGAAGGTCTTGACCACCGTGTTGAACTCCAGCGCCTCCGCGAAGCGCACCAGGATCTCCGTGGTGATGCAGTCCGAGTTGTTCACGTTGACCTCTGTCACCTCCGGGTCATTGTTCTTCACCCTCTCCAGGGGCTCGTCGAAGATGCTGGGGGCTGCCTCCTCCTCGGCCTTGGTGGGGGCCCCGGGGGCCGGCCTCTCTGGTGCAGGCGTCTTGCCCTCTTCTCCGGGGGCCTTTGGGTTGGGGGCCTCGTTTTTCCTGGCTCTCTCGGCCCCCTTCCCGGCGAGCACGCTGCCACCCCCTCTCTCCACCTTCTCGGCCTCCATCCGGGCACCCGCGCCCTGGCTGGGCCCCTTCACCTTTGCAGTCTCCTCTCTCTCGCTCGCCTCCTTCCTGTCCGCCCCCTTCCGCCCCCTGTCTCTGCTCCCCCCGCACTCCTTTCAGCCCCCTGCCTGTCCTCGTCCATCCTGGGGGCCGCAGTCTCCTCGTCTGCCCGCCCCCCCTTCCCGGCCTCCTTCTTGTCCACCGCGGCCCTGACCCGGCCCTTCTCCAGGCCCCTGATGACTTTCTCCTCCTTGGGCCTCTCTGCACCTTTGCCCTCAGCTTCTTCCTTGTCTCTCGAGAAGCTTTTCTTTAAACCACCGCTCTGTGGCTCCCTCCCCTGGTCCGAGTCCTGCCTGGGGCCCAGGGGCTTTCTGCCGGCACCCCTGCCCCTTTGCTCTCCGCTCTTGGCATCTGTCTTGGTCTCCACTTGCTTGCCCTCCTAAGAATTCAGAAAAGAAAAACAAACATGAAGGGCTGGCTTCGGAGGGAGAGGGATGGGTGTGGGGATGGCGTGGGGGCGCGTCTATAACCGCCCAAAGCCTCTGGACGGTCTCTGCGCGGACGCGGCCGGGACTCAGGTGTGAGCTGTGCGGACCGCGCTGACGGCACACTCCCAGGACCTGAGGGCCGCGAAACGCCCAAGTGAAGGCTGGGGGGCTGCAGCCGTTCCTCCCCAGGGGCCAGACCCAGAGCTGCCCTCCTCCGTGGGGTGACAGGGAAGGGGCTGCTGGCTGAGCCTCGCTGGAGCCGGAGGCGAAGGAAATCTCACCAACGCTGGGCCTGTCTTTGTTTCAAATTTTGTGTTTTTGTTCATTGTGGGGTTTTTTGTGTTAAATTTGATTTTTTACAGTATTAACTGAGACACCAGTTGTCTTGCTCTCTGGGCTCCTGGGCCCCTCGCATCCTGCGCTCCAGGCGGGAGCACCAGGGCCGTACCCTGGCCCCAGGGACAAAGAGGTCAGAGGGACCCACTGAGGACTACTGACATTTCATTTTAGCAGTTAAGGTTATTTATAAATTCAGTACCATCCTCATCTCATTGAAATAAGGGGGCCCTAAATAAAAGATGGACTTTCGGCATCAGATACATGTGGCTTTTTGGGAAATCTGCAACATTTTCCTTATTTTTTTCAGTAAATGCTTTGCTACGGACTGCTCTGTCTGTGAGGAGCCCGGGACTCAGCCAGTCTGCTGAACTTGGGGCCCTGCCTGACTGGGCCCAATGATGCCAGGTGGCTGGGGGCGTGGGAGGGGCCGGTGGCCACCCTGAACATCCACAAAACCACATAGAGTCTGCTCCTTATCCTGCGAGCACACTTCCCATCCCTGTCGTGGGGCCGAGGGAGCAGCTGAACTGCCTAAGAGGAGATGTTAGATGCAATGTCCTCTGTCCGACAATGCCAGACCCCAGGGCAGCCGGCCCCCAGGGACGCCACATGACCTTCTGAAGCTCTAACAGGAAGGCACCATGGCCTGACTGTCAGAGGTTTCCGGGGTGCGGGGAGAGAAGCAATGCTCTACCACCCCATGTCCCAGAGGGAGTGTGGTGCTGAGTGGGCCCAGGAAACGGTGTGCACCTGGACCACAGACAGGCCCCTGGGGACCGTTTGTTTAGCAGCAGAAGTCCTTGGCGCCTCTGGCAGAATCACAGGGGGCCGCCAAGGGGCACAGGGCCCGGTGAGACAGGGCCTTGGCACGCACCCCCGCCCTCCCCACCCGCAGGCCTGGGCTGCCGCGCCAGGGGACTCACGGGGCTGGGGCACCAGGGGTGATGATGGAGCCTGGCTTTGAAACGGAGCGTGGCACTGGTGAACAGAAGGCCCGTGAGGGGCCCTTGGGTCAGCCCTTCGAGGACGCTCACGAGCACCGGAGGCCCTCTGCCCCGCCCACCCCACCAGGTCCAGGGATTCTGGTCTCATCATACTTGAGGAGCCGGGGAGGGAGAGTCCAGCCCACGCTCCGGACAGAGGTCAGACCCCACCTCCCCAGACCTGCACACGCTGTGCCCCGCGGATCGCCCCCGGACGCAGCCGAGCTGCCTCCGCAGAGCCCACAAGCCTCACCAGAGGGAACTGGGGCCCCCGAGAGAACACCCCACCTTTGGGAAAAACTGAGGCTCTGGCCTGTCCACTAGCAGCCCCAGGTTGACGTGCCGTTCCCCGACCTTCCCCACTGGGGCAAACGCACCCCCTCTGCACCTGCCTGCGCCCTTGGTCCCTGGGTGTCCCTGCAAAGCAACTGCACCCCAGCCTCCCCTCCCACCCAAACCCTTCCAGACCCAGGCTTCCGTCCCCTCCCTTCGGGACTGCTCTCCGAGTCTGCCCTCTCCCTGCCCTGGCGCCCCAGACTCTGTCCCTCCCCATCTGCACCAGCAGCCTCCCGCCACGTGCTCCTCCGCACAGGGTCCTAGTGGGCTTGGGTCTCCCCGTGTCTGCTCAAGGCACCCTTTAAAAAGAATCTAATGGAAAACAGGCGGGGGGGTGATTAATCATCGTTTCCTCCAAACAGTCAGGAATGAGCGGGGCTGGGGCTGCTCCCGCAGCCTGAGACTCAGACGCTGCCTTAAAAGGAGAAGGAGGCCTGCGTCCTCCCGAGCCCAGGTCTCCACGGGGCGGACTGCAGGGCGCTCAGCAGAGCTGCCCCCTCCGGGCCCGCGAGGGACGCCAGGCCGCCATCTGCCTCTGAGACAGGCGGTGCGTCCCCGTGACCCCCGAGGTTACGTTCTGCCTGCTCCCAGCCTCTGCCTCAGCTGGGAGGGCTTTAGGGTAACAAAGCGCCTCCCTGGAGAAGGGCTGTGGCCCCTGGATGAGCCCTCGTGACAGTACTTCTCTCCTGTGGGAGAAGCCACTGTGCAGTGGAGGTGGAGGCCTGGAAAGGATGACCCCTGGAAACCTCTCAGGACCGGTGATGCAGGGCCCTGCCCCCGACCCCTCCAGGCCTCGTGGCCACGTGATGTTGCCCCGTGCCTGTCACTTGGTCAGGATCCAGGTGACGTGTCTGGTAAGCTCCGGTGGCAGAAGGCAGCCTCTTTCCCCGACCCTGGGCGGCTGCTGCTACCCCTCTGCGAGTCTCGTCTGACTGGGCAGAGCAGAGAACGTTCCACCACTTCCATTCCCAAAGCAGGAGACGGAAGGACTCGTCTATCAGGAGGTCCCTGACAAACGGGAGCCTGCCCGCAACCATGTGCGGCACTCAGCCCCGCCCTCCGGGCCCCAGGAGTTCATGCTGAGCTCACGCTGAGCGCCCCTCTGCCTTTCCTGTCACCTGTCACCTGAGTGGATAATTCTCGGCAGAGGAATCCCAGCCTGAGGCAATTGTAAGGGGGGTGGTCTGCAGCACCCCCAGAGGGCGGTGGAGCCTGGGGGAGTGTCTCCAACAGGAAGTGGGGGGCAGGAGCCCCGGCTTGCCTGGAGGGGGTGGAGCCAAGGAAGGAGAGGGTGCCCGGTGAGGGCGGGCACCTGGCACCTGGGCCTCCCCCGGAGCCAGAGTGAGGTGGCGCCGACCTGGGGCTGCCGGGGGCCCCTGATGGCCCTCTGTCTGGAGTGTCCAGAAGGCTCAGCCCAGGCTCCAGGCTGGGGCTCAGACGCTGTGTCAGTGCCCTGTCCCCAGGCCTTCGCCGAAGTCCCTGGGGGCGCAGAGCCGCAGGGTGAGTGGAGCTCACCGGGAGACCGCATGTTCGCCCTGGCCCTGGGCAGCTTCTGCTTGCTCCTGGATCAAGGTTACAGTTACCAGGAAGGCTTGCGGGGGGGGGCTGCTTCTGCGCTCACACTCCACCCCCTCACCCGGTCCTGCACCAGTG